ACGTACTTTGATTCTGTCCTCATTCATCAGTCCTTTCTTGGCATTTGATAGTGTACCAAGAGTCGGTAATAAAAATTGATCATATCGCTCCCTATCTATATCGTTGGTTGATTTCATTAACTCTTCTTTTGAAAAAACATCATTTTTTGGCAGGAAAATTTGTTTATGATTTGATTGCTCGTCTTGTTTGAGCTTCTTCGTGTTTTCATTGGTTGACTCTGTTACTGCAGTAAAGATTCTATGGTTTGTGTGCACTGGAAATGCTGGTTCGATGTTATTTTTAGGGTCCTCGCTCTTTGTCATTTGATGTTCTGTTAGCTCASTTTTATTTTTGGATGCAATACTTGCCAAAGTAATGTCCCCTCTTTCTGACTGTACTGCCATRCTCAATGTTACACTTGCTGTGCCAGCAACACTCAAGCAATCAGAATACGAATGGCCCAAACCACTCGCACCTCCAAGTTCGACAGACCGATCTATGTCAATCTTCGTTCCCGTACATTTTAAGCGACCTTTACTTCTATGTGAATTCGATTGAAGTCGGCCATCATGAGTTCTATTCAATTTAGACATAAAGCCTTCTTGCTTTGTTTGACGTTCTAAATTATTYTCAGCTAGTARAACTCTCGCCACTTCACTAGAGGRCTGTTCAAACGCGCTCGCTCCACGCGAGGAGCACTGAAGCGGACTGACTCCACGCGTGGAACCATCAGGTACGCCAGATCTTTGGTTTTGTCCATTGATTCTATTAACCTGCTTAGTGTCTCCATCAAACRCACTCGCTCCGCGCGAGGGTCCCTCGAATGCACTCGCTCCACGAGTAGCCTCGTCAGAACATGACTTAACTAGTGCACTTGCTCCTCTAGGTGTTAMCGYTGACCCTCTCGAAGACATACCCAARCAACTTGCACCATGACCAGAGTCATCYACATCTCGGTCTTCTGTTTCGTCATTACCTGACTTGCAGTTATAGGGACATATGTTTCCATGAAGACACATAGAGCTTGGCGCACGCACAACTTTAAGGCAACTTAATCGCCCTCCATGCGCGTTAACAATGTATCCRCCCACATTTCTTTGCTCTGTGCTGTTGCATGATAGGGTTTTACTCGTTTGGCGTGGACTGGTGCTAGCAGTTTTATTCACACTGGTAGAAATGCTTGTATCTGGCTGAAGTTTCCTCAATATTTCCATTTTGTCTTGTTTTGTTAGCTTTGARGGACGTTTCCATTCATAGGGCACTGTGTTGACATCAYGTGACTGCTTAGCGTCCTTGATCCATTTTTGTAGCGTAAATCGTGTAAACGGATTTGAGTGTTTTYTCGGTGATGTTGTCACATGGCTAAATGAATCATTCATTRTCTTGTTCTCAGTTTCTACTATGTTAAAACCAAAAGWCGCATTCAAGGTTTTCTTGATCTCTCCAAGGTGTTCCTTTATCGGTATATCAATATCACGCATGTTTTCACTGCGTATGCCGCTGTCAATAGATAYCGCAGGAGAATTCACTCTTGAACRTGCTGCATTTCCACTGGATTGGTTGATAGTTGSGCATGCGCTGTCACGCTCGACGACGTCATCGTTGACCATATTTATTGTACAATCCATGTGACATTCCTCTTCAGATGAATCTGTCTCGTCAACTTCGTCATCTTCAGACAYTTCTTGATTACCGTGTATTTCTACTTCGCCACCCACGTGATTACTTAGAACGTTACCTTGGCTATCTCCTGCGTCATYCTGGTTGCTTGGAAACGCRCTCACGTRATCTATACAATTGATTGGACTTACGCATGCGTCCCTGGTTTCAGGTTGCCTCGCAACCCCRGGAATCGATGCCATCAGCTCGCTCATTGGTGCATATTGAGGAAGATCACTATATGTTTCCATGACAGCGTCTACTACGTCATTGTTCTCTTGCTGGAGTACTGGGAACGGCTTGGGAAAGTGAATATTTTGATCCATGAATAATAACTCTATGCTRTCGCCTTCGTCCTCGCTTTTCTTTTTACTTGTACTCGATTCAACATGACAACACGAATWTCCTGACGAAAGTAAAAAYCCACCAAAAAGAAGRATAAGCATTGCTCCAATGATTGGAAAAACTAGCGATGTCGGATCAGGCGATACTTCTGGTAGCTGCTGACCATTAGAATCGCGGGCGGGATGAGCTCCTTTCCTKGGCAAATCTTACGAAAAACACAAAAAACGCATTTAATTAACTACTTTAAAACCCATTAAAAGAAATTACTTAGTTGAATAATACAAATTAGTTTTGACCTGTTAAGATCAACAGGTTGATAATCACCTGCCGTCGGGCATGCGCAATACAGGTTCAAGGTTTGAAAATGAATCTCTTGAGCTAGAACCACACCTATAAATGCGCTCAATTTTGAATTTTTGCACCTTTTAAGAAATTAGGATTTTATTYCCTCTGAATACTGATCAATTGGAGGATACAAAATGAAATGTCGATATAAATTTCTTTTAAAATCTCGWTATCGCTATTTCGTGGTCTTAATCGAAAGTCGTGTCATCAGCCAAATTGACCTGGGCGGGTCTGGAGTAAGAAAATAAAAAAAGTTTGAAATATTGTATATTATAAAAGTCAGAAAAGATGGATTGTTAATTCCAACTCTCAGCTTAGAATGCTCACAATTAATTCATATAAGTTTAAAAGTCGGTCTTCTAACTGAATTACAGAATTATATACATAAAATAGTTACACTATCAAATCCTCTATACATCTGAGATTTTAACAAACCAAAAGACATGATTTACTCTAAGGATAAACACAAACTTTCTCCTTACTTTTTATTATTATTTAATCTTGATTTCTCGAGCTATTGATTCTCAGAATTGACAAAATAGAAGGCAYTGTTGCGCATWGTTATTTTCCACTTCTCGTTAGCAAAAACGTGTCAAAAACTTCGGATGATTTTGCAACAAGAATTTCATACCATTAACTATGTACTTACTATTAGTCCATGTTTTGTTTGATGTCCAAGGCGATCTGTTTGACATTTTTCACCTTTTATTTCAATTTTTCGATTTTCTCTTGGCATTCCATAGTTGTTGCTTTYCTCTTGATTGTTGTGACTTTGAAGAATACCGTTACACGAAACGTTGCGTGACCTATTGCGTTATTTTAGTTTGTTTGACATTCTGTGACATRTTGTGTGACTCCAAATTATTGCAAGACATTGCGTGACTGTAGTGTTTGTGRAAAATTTGTACAGCAATTTRAATACAGGCATTMTGCAARCTGTAGTGTTCATTGTATCAACTTAGGAGMGTGTTGCAAAGATTTTTATTGTRTAAAGTGAAATGTCAACGCATTTTCAAAATGGCTGCCRATGATCACGTGATTGTGGTCACCGGTCAGCAATGCAGGTTGAATAGTGACGTCATGGTATTGTTTGTTCACTTGTCGGTTGAAAACGGACCTGAAACTCGTTCAGTAAACAAGATCGAAATGGAACAACGGAAATTTCCACGAAAAAAGGGCTGATTGGAGCAAGACAAGATGTCCATGCCATTACAATTTAAGGGTAAGTTGGTGTTGAGTAATYACAACATTATATCCCTGATGGAACGACCTTTTTTCCCGCCACTGATCATGAAGATTTATGTTTAGAGCGTCTATCAAACGTTTTATTGATACGCTAACAACTTGTTGACCCATGAAACCAATTTTGATATGTTATAGTYCTGAGGCGAGAAAGTATGTAAATTTGAATTAATCAAATAGTGAGATTTTCTTGATATTTAAGGAATATCGTAGTCAAGATATTGCTTTCAAAAGACGATCAAATACCTGTACATTGTTCAGCCTTTTAAAGGGATTACCAACCCGTACAACACGTGGTTTTCTCTSAAAAATAAAAACAAATCTCTAAAAGKATCTTAAAAATTGTTTRAAGCAAAAAATGTCTTTTTGGCGSACAGACKATTAACGTTCAAAATTGTTTCTGTTTGCACGAATCAACGGACTGATARGTTTTGACGAAGGGTCAATTAGGGTCATTATGAAATTACCGACCGTAAAAAAGAAATTATTTTAGCTTTAATTTGTTTTGTATACGTAGTAATAAAATTAATTGCAGGGGGACTGAAATTGTCTTGATTGGGAAACAGTCAATCGTTTAGAAAGCCTAAGACTTTCCTGTTGCCATGGAAGTATTATCTGACTATAGAGGGCATGTTTACTCATTATTTGAAACTTTTGTTGATACTCTTCGAAAAAATAATATTTCCTTTCAAGGTTGATAACTGTTTATGCTGGGTGAGATTCGTGAAATTGAGTCGATTTCACCTTAACAAAAATTGACAATTGGCCTAACACAAAAAKCGTCTKCTCAACTAGYTTCAATGAATAACGATTTCCTTAATACATTTAAAATGGCCTTGATTTGCCGCCAGTAAGATCCAATATGCATTCAAATCAATAAGCAAGATATTTTTAGACAACCCAACGGCTGCAGCCTGAGTCAATACAAAACTGACAGCGTCAATCAAAAACCCAAATATTATAATCATACAGCTGATTAGCCAACCGACGACTCTCACTCGACTGAGCAGACCGTAAGCGAACTCATTTCAAGGAGGATGGAAGGGGGGATGCAACAGGCAATGCAACACCAATTGAGCACACGGCAGCAAATTTTACTACTTAACACAACGAAGTGTCCGTGTTTACAATGTGACAGTTAAATATATAAAGCTTGTTGCTGAGAGATATTCAAAAAACCCTGCTGTAATGTGGTCAAGAACTATCAGTTTCGTTTCGCACCTYGTAAGAAGACCCAATATGATGAATCGCCAAACTGGTATGACACTTCAACAGTATACAACTATTATTTATTAGGACACGACTATAATATTTAGACTTCGTGAGGGATATTCAACGGATAGTTTGCATGTTGTTAAGGACATAAAAGAGAAATGCAAAATTGTATTCTCAAGAAACTTTCATCCCCGGATTAGAGCCAAGGGATTAAGAAAACAAGTGAACAAAGAACTTTGCGGCATTGGATTGTATTATTCATTTAAAATTGCTAAAATATAAGAAAGCAGTAGTTTCAATCAATTACGTAGAAATAGAAAAATTGCGACATATCTGTGAATCTAAATTTTACAAATTTCATTATTGAGTGTAGAATTCTTCGTTTATTTATTATTTTTTCTCGTGAAACTACTAGTTTAATATTTCTAGTATAACAAACCATAGAAACATAAATATATATGAAGGACCACCGTCAGACTACGCCATTAATTACCTCTCAAGAAAGTGTTTCGAACATTTTGCATACATTTAAATCATGCTGTTTTGTGTTTGATTGCCTTTTTCATTGGATATTTTTGCTTGGTGTTTCTGTGACTCATGATAAAAAGAATTAAAACCAAGTAATAAATGCATCGTCAACGTGACTATCGAGAGTAGGATTAATTTCAGGCCGCCCCCGCTCTCGATGGTCGAGCTGCAGGTATAGAATTGTTGACAAATAGGATGGTTTGTGTACATTGTTCGTTCTTTGTAGCTCTTTTCGAGCGTTTTCCACACAAAACAACACTTTTTTAAGGTTAAAACTAAGATCGTTAAGTTAAAATGTGAGATATATGTAAAAAAGGATATATTTGTCACCTGCTTAAATGTTAATCCATCAATCACAGCTGCAATCAGTTTTTAAATTGTTATAAGTTTTATAAGTGTTATATCATATATCATATTAATCACTATAAGTCACTATATTCAAACTTTCTTTCTTGTTAGATTTCGACCCTCGCCGCAGTAAACAGAACTCCAGCTATGTGAGTCGCTTAATATGGCAAAATACCGGAATTACCTGCTTCATCGCCCTATTGATATTCCCTGTTCTGTTGGGCGTGGCCGTAGGGTACCTTTTCGTCCTAGCAGGGGTCACAACGTTTAAAAAGCTAACTGGAAAAAACAACAATCAGTGCTATAAAGAAGAATACCAAAGAATCAAAGTRGTTTTAGGCGAGGAAGTCGTTGAGTCTTCATTCCCGGACTCGGTATCCCTCAACGTCCAAGATGGCGGACAAGATATTCATTCCCAGTCCACTCCACCACAAAAATACTACCAGCACCGCATTGTGAATCAGAACGGACAAGCTCATAACGGTTATGTCAAGTCCTACTCACCACAGAATGGCCGAAAGAGTCAGGATTCTGAAGACGATAAAACGCATGCGCGTCATAAGGAATACCGCAGTGCAGATGACAGTGACTCTAGTACCCAGGCTTCTATGGAGGACAACGAGGAGAAAACTGAAGATGAAGAAAAGGAGTCAAAAAGGAAATTGAACTCGTTAATGAATAAGCACAATAAAGCTAAAATCATCTACGACAGTCCAAGCAAAGTTATGAATACTAGTATGGAATCAAACAGCGAAGTCCCGTCGCCTGACGGGGGTACTGGTGGGGAGCTAGGACGACTACGATTTGCTTTGCACTACACTGCTGCAAAGAACGAACTCCAAGTTAACGTGATAAAAGCTACAAACCTTCCAATCTACGATAACAARGAAGGTATCAATCCATACGTGAAGTTATGTCTTCTTCCGCAACAGTTTTGCTGGCAAAGGACGCAAATAATCGAGAACAACCCAGACCCAGTCTACAACGAGAGTTTCGTCATTTCCGGTTTCTCCAAGGAGCGTCTCCATGACTACACGTTGCGATTCTGCGTGGTTAATTATCATGATCACTTTACGGAGAAGTATGCAGATGACGTCATAGGGGATATATATCTACCGCTGTCCTCATTGAACACGATAGAAAATAAACCTACATACTCAATATCAAAATGGATGAACTTGCAGCATGTTGCAGCTACAAAGGTACAAACACGTTCTGCTTTATTTAGCCTCACCAGACCCCTTGCATGTGACGTCCAAGGAGCTTCATCATGGGGAAAAAACAAAAGAGTCATTCCTTGTTGAAACTAGAGTTTAATATTTTTTCCCTCACAGGTTAAACTTGCTCCCATGAACTTCAGGGGCTCCTCGATGGGATTCATAAATATTCGTATTGTCTTTTTTACATACTTAAATTCATTACAAGATGTTGTTGCTGAATAAACATCGCACAGCTTTAATAAGTTGATTTCAGGCTGAGCAAAACAGAAAAAGAACCAAAACACAATAGAATGAATCTTTATCCAACGCTATCAAACAGTTTGGCCAGACGATGATGTATGAGTGTATATTTTACGATAATATGATTTGTGTTTTTTAGCCTGAACCAGACGAACTGGGCGAAGTATGTGTGTCATTATGTTTTCGACCAATCAGCGGCCGTCTTATTGTCACATTGACAAAAGTACGAGGACTACCCAAAATGCAACTGGACCGTACAGGTAGGTCAAAATGATGCGTTCTCAATATACGACAAGGTCTTTACAAATATTTTATGATTTATATGATTAGTTTTATAAGTTTTTATATTGGTTTTAATTCAACAGATCCCTACGTCAAGCTATCGCTCTATTGTGACGGTGTACGTCTATCAAAAGCAAACACAAGAGTGAAACGAAAGACACTTAACCCTGTTTTCAACGAGAAATTCAACTTTAACGTCAACTCGGACCAGATCTCTCTCACCACAGTCGTTCTCAAGGTTGTCAATCACTATGACGTCAATTAYGGATCTGGTGGCAGTGGAGGCATGGGGCAGGTCGTGCTGGGTTATAATTCTCTGGGGTCTGGGCAGGAGCAGTGGAACTCTATGTTAGAATCTCCAAGCAGACACATTGAAAAGTGGCATAAGATTTACAGAGACAATTCAATGTGATAATCCATGTTAGTYATGAAATATGTTACACATATAACAGCATATAAAGCACACATTTACTGACATGAAAGCTTCTATGTGAAAACGAAAGGCATTGTAATTTTAATACGCACTCTGAATGAGAGACCACTGGCTAACACTGTACCGAAGAAAGCCAATCTTTTGCTTTTCTACCACAGGAAGCCCAATCCTTACTATGCGCGTTTAATGATGAAACAAAAGTTGGATGTACATATATCAATTCCTCGTTTTACGGCTTCAGGAATAACAATTTTTGTCGCGGTACCGACATCATATATTTACATAATTGAAGTGAAATATCACAGGAAGCCCGATGACTTTGAAGGCGCCCAAAAGAGCATATATGGTTGTGTGTCGGGACAGAACTGCAACAGTTCATCAAATACAGAATTATTACAAACACATGGAGAAAAGAAGTTTGAATCGACTGCCACAGGAAGCCCAAGTATTTTATCCCATTAAGTGTACGGTGACTATAAAGGATCGGTTTTATTAAGTCCGTTTATCCCTTCATCAATCCCCAGGAGCGGCTTAATCGGATAATTACACTAAACACCGTACGAAAACCCTGCCGACCACAAGAAAATGGTACATTTGTATCAGCACGTACACCCGATAATGACAATCCCACCTGAACATATGGAAAACARCGCAAAATAGCAAAGAATCCGCTCTWATCAATTRACCAATCAGAATCCATTCAAGTTATGACGTCATGAAAGTAACGAATTGGAAATATGTCGTAATGGCCGGCATTTAAGAATGATTACGGATGTTGACAGTCTWGYACACGTCGTAGATAATGACGCCTATGAAGGCTTTAATATTTTTTTATTATTATTTCATGTATATTTTCTGCTATTAAATTTAAGAGTTGAATTTTTTATAGCAAGCAGTATCGGGCTATAAAAGTCACATAAAAAGCTTAAAAGTTTTTAACGTTATACAGCTCTTTGTTTTATTTTCTTTTACATACTTCTATTTCATTGAGAACACTAGTCTACTATTGTAATAATCAAGATTTTAGTTAAAATTATAACAGTARAGATATTCTCTGTCAATTATCAAATGATAGAATTATTAATTAATAGTGAGTTGTGGACTTCACAACAATTGTTTTTGGATTTTTGTTGTTCGCGGTCGACGGAAAATCCCTCAATAAGTTATAATAGTAACTTTTAAAAATGTAACTTTTATTATTTTYAAAAGAATGTTTTTACTTCTAGATTAGAACTACTTCAGTGAAAATAAAAGCACACGAGCCGAAACATTGACCATTGAATATGATGAGGACACGTAACCGGCTGCACCAAAGCCCTCTAGAGAAAAAAAGACAGCGGTCTAGCGGCTATATTGAATTAATGAACAGAAATAATATAAAGTGATTATAGAGTAAAGGAAGTTATCAGCACATCTATGATACGAGTGTATTTTCAATCCATATCCAGTATGGACACCAACTCACGTGCAACCCATTAACTCAAATAAAAAGAGGAATTACTGCGCGTTTGACAGCAATTTGTGCCAATCCATACTAAGATTAAATCAAATCAGTTAAACCAATAAACTAGAGTCTTTGTGGTTGCTGACACGTGACCAAACTGGCCACAACAATGTTTGGAGTTAAGAATTCTTGCACGTAGATGTTAACTCGTGGATTGCATGGACATTGACGCGCCGAGAAAAACGAGGTAATTTTGCAGTAGAAAAACCTTTTCAAGCGGCGGAATTTCACTAGTGAAGTTAGAAAAAATAGAACATTTATACTCTAAAGCCCTCATCTTAGTAATTTTATGCTCTCTTAATGGGGGATTATTGAGTAAAATACGGTTTCTTCTGCACTTGGATGCAAATTATCAAACTCATTTCTAAACTGTTTTATATCAAATAGCAAATTATTTAATCCTCAAAAGGATCACAGCAATAATATGAACTACATCTATTATTCTGGTTATGATTTTAGTACTTAATCGTTTAATTTAATTACATTTTATTATTCTAATCTGAACATGTAGAGAATAGCATGTACAACTAACAAAGCAATATGTGGTAATGTTATAGATGTTTGATGACTTCTTGCAAACTGAAGCCGAGCTTTTCTTCGTGTTTACTRTAACAAGCAATATACTTTGCACACTTCACAACCACATTAATTAAACTTTTAATATAAATATARAAACTTTAGAAAGATAACAGCAATAAAACTGAGTGCTTTTCGTCGAGTGCATTTCGTATGTATCTGCTGAACAGCTTGCCACATCAAAATTCTGCACYAAATATTTTCTTTTCTGTCGTTCAATCAGTACATTGCAGTCCCTTGATTTTTTTTTTTTTGCAACAAATTTAAGGGGGAAGTATAACTTAACACGAGATCTGTGAGATAATCAACAACAACAACAACAAAAAATCACATTTTTTGGCAAACTTCAGTAATAAGAGTTGAGGTCAATYATCATTTCAACTGTACCTTTATGAAAACAGATTATTCACTGTGACCAAATTGCTACAAGCGTTAAAAATCACCTTCACTTTTTTTGAGTATTCAAAGTCTTGTAGAGAATGTGTCTTGAAGAATTTTGCATCCATTTGATCTTGGTGCAACTCGAGATAAAAGCCCAAAATGTTTGTTCATAAAGAAGCTGTTTCTTGAAATTTGAGTGAAATCAAACAAGGAAAGAATTCATATAAACTGTCTACATCTGTTTGCCAATTGGAATGCCTATTATCAAAATTCTTTCATGTATAAATTTGAAAATATCGTAAACGAGGACAATACTGAATTTTACAGAAACACTGAATGAATCACATTAAAGAAACCAAGAATACTTTGTTATAAAGTAAGGTACTAAACTATCTATTCCAGAATCAATGGTAGCACGTAGTGTGCTAACCAAACAAGATGGCGGCACCCTCTAATAGGGGAGAGGGGTGTGATCATTGCACAAAACTTCTGAGAATTCCGAGCCTTTTGCCGCAAAATAAACTCAACACAACAAACAGGAATGTTGTGGCTTGGGTTTATTAAACGTTTCATTTCAATTTAAGTCAAAACATTTACAGGAAGATGGTGCGTTTGGCCGGAATGAAAGATCAATTGACTAAAGAGAGACTCAGGAAATACGTGAGATGTTGCTTCATACTATGAAAACAGAGCTATTAAAATAAAGTATATTTCACATGTCTATTAAATAAGATCTAAATACATTCGAATCTTCACTTGCGGACGACCTCATAAGCTGGCTGCTCTAGTTACAGACATGGCTTCAGAAGTTGTTTTCGTACAAACACTGCAACCATATTCTCCCATAAGCGGGCTTTCTCAGAAGCGAACGCGATTTCAGTGAACGAATTCAATACAACTGGCCCAGAGCTTTTACTCACGTTTCCATTCAAGACCTAATAGTGACAATGTGACTGATATACACTCTGCTTTCGAGTGTTTTTCAAGACTTATTTTTGTCTTCACTTTATTTGTAAAACTGTACATGATATCAATACTAAGCAGTACGAATAATTAGCACTGATACATGAGACATGAAAACAAATATTCCACCAGTTAGAGTGCTTTTTCTATGATCATCCGTGAAACAAAGTATAGCAGTAAAAAGTGCACTGGTTTCACGATTTACAGAAAAAAGTACATCGCACAATGACGAACTCTGAATTTCATTATTAAGTTCACTTGTATAGCAAATTATAGGATGAGAATTGTTTCACAGCTTTTTGAAACCTGCTTCATACTTCCCTCAAGTTTCGTCTCACTTGTGTTTGAAATATTCAAAGTCCAAAGTGTCCATTAGGATGATAATATTTCGTATAAAAGGTATTTAATAGTTCGAATATTTCCAGAAAGATTATCGCAAAAGTAATGTAACTCAATTCTAACTAATTGTCCAAGTAAAAACCCACTTACAACGTCAAAGGTTATCCTACAAATAGTCTAAAAATAGAAACTCTTTTATCTGCTGATGACGTAGCACATTCCCCACTAATTTATAAGGTGATAATGACGTCATAGTGGCCCGCAAAAGTACACAAAGCTATTAACCGCAGCGACATACAATGTAACATATACAAAAGAAAAGAGGAGCGCTAGATAACTCCACCTATAGGAATCGATCACTGTCCTGTCAACAGAGTTAATGTAATTTCCTGGGAGGCTAAGCGCCGCACGTGTCTGTACTCGTATTACTAAACACAGTAATGCAGCAGTTGATGTTGACACTAGTTCGTTTGTTTTCTAGATTGCTGCTGTTGAGTTGAGACAGCACGAATAACAATAATACCACGAGGCGTAACACGTTCTGAAGACACATTTGATGTAGTGATAGATAGAGGATTTGTCTGCGCCGTTCTGATGCTAATCTCCATGATTTAATGACTAATTTGTTTTTTGATACAATCGCAAATGTACTTTAGTAAACTCTTAAGGAATGTTTTCCAAATCAAATTACATTTTTTGGAAGTTTCTAAAGGCTTAATAACGCTCTCTCCTGTAATTCTTTAATCATCTTAGCATTGATGCATCATTTTTGTACGTTTGTTACTGGCTGACAGAGTTACTAAGGGCGGTGAAGGTCGAGCGCTCTTGAGTCCATAAAATTACTTATGAAAACAAACCGAACGACAACCCCAAACAAACTTGAAGCTTGTATTTTTGTAAGGAATGCTCTGGACCGGAATTCACTGTGAGCTGACAGCCAAATCAAATTGAGTCCAGATGCTACATTACATTCCATCTTCGTACCGCGGGCACTCATTCATAAGAGGCACAACTTAGATTATGATCGAGTGGGAAGTGACAGCCGTAAGCTAATGCAGTACCATTAGTATACAACTCGCCCTAGTAACTCGTGCTTCAGAGAAAATCCAGACCACTACTCCATCAAGCACGACAGTCTTCTGTACACATCAAGCCATTGTGGGTGGCCATTATTGACCAGTTTGCGGCACGTTGAAGTGATCCACACACGCGCATAGAAACATTTCAGCTAATCATCACGATAAAGATAGAGCAGAATTTATTGGCGGAAAGATATGGATACGAGAGCAGGAAATTCATTCAGTTCCTTTGGATTTGAAAGATTGAGGATGGATGGCGCTGTGGGATTTAGTGCAGGAAGCGACATGATCGACAACACACCACAATTTGTATCGGTCAGTGCAGATAGAGAACAGCGTAATGACGAGCAGGCTATGGTTTACCAGACCCATGATTACATCCCTTCCATGCCGCTGTGTTATTACCCAGCTATAAAACCCAGTCAAGATCCACCACAAGATGCAGTAGTCACAATGAACACGACGCACACCAAACCGTATCTCACTGACGACGTTAAACCACCGTTTTCTTACATCGCGTTGATCACAATGTCGATCCAAGCTTCTCCGTACAGAATGCGAACACTTAACGAGATCTATGAATTCATTATGAATAGGTTTCCTTACTTCAGGAAAAACCAGCAAAAATGGCAGAATTCTATTCGCCATAACCTGTCGTTGAACGATTGCTTTGTTAAGGTACCGCGTAGTGTATTCGGAAAACCAGGAAAGGGGAATTATTGGACGCTCCATCCTTCGTGTGGAGACATGTTTGGCAGTGGAAGCTTTCTTAGAAGGCCTAAGAGATTCAAATGTCGATTTCCACAGCGATCCAACGAGCCTGCGTTTGTACGTAAAGTTAATTCCTTTCACCATTTTAGTTTGTACGATACTTGGGCGCATCTACAGCCTGCTTACAGCAGTAATTTCTACATGGGACGTCCAGTAAGACAAATCGAACTAACAGCACCATATCCTACGCTAGACTTGTACCACAACCACGAAGCTCTCTCAACAAAACACTACAAAGCTCGTAGCTTTCTCATCGAGGATTTGATGTCCAAAGACACTAGAGAATGTGATGCGAAATAGAAGAGAAAAGAACTTTGGAAACGCATAGAATTGACTGTTATATTGTGCACAATTCATACTCAGTTATTGCGGCGTAAGTGCTCAACTCAATGTGACGTTTGAGGTACACTTTTGTGCAATATTGTCAACACGCTTCCATAAAATCGTTCATAGATTAGTGAGTAAGTTTTACAAAGACTAAACTTATTGCCCCTCGAGTTAGAGTTCTTTCAAACGTTCATGTTGTTCTGGTTATTAATATTTACTGGCGATACTCTAGATTCTTTGCTCTAATTTTCACAAATCATTAGAACTCTCTTGTGTCTGTCATTGAGTGATTGGTTAAGTAATCATTTTGTTGAAATAATCTTTATGGTGTAACAAGGTTGGACTAGGCTTTTAGCTGGAGAAAAAAGATCAATCTTTGTACAGTTGATTCAGAACTATAATAACATGGACACCTTTCATAGTCGTTAAGAACACTTTTAAGTTTTTGAAACTAGTTAATACCTATTACAAACTTTTCTACTGTTATACAGGTTTTATTACAAACTATATTTAACTTATTCATTCATACATTACAATAGTGTCAAAACTATCTTGTAATTCCAGTTATATGTCCAGTAATTTAGCAGATTTAGTGAGACGCAACACAAACGTACGAGCTGGACTCTGTTTAAAACGTTGCAAAGCTATCATGTAACTTTGTTCATTTAAGTAGTGAATTAAAGGTTCTTATGTAATTCAAAGTATTTTATCCTATATTTAGCTATTCACTTAAACAACCTCTTTAACTACTCGATGTACGGRGATGTGACGATGCTTGCAATGGCGGATGGGAGTGGTCTTCGTGCAGGAAACTCGTCAAATGAGTCTCTACCAGAACGACTYAACACTGCGATTTTATCTCTTTTTCTGACGTATTTTGAATCGACTTAAATTGTTTTACGCTATGATACAATCTATAGGTGTTGTACGATYGGAATTCTTGGGCCTTYGGATCAGACTAGAGGCACCATAACGACAACGGTTTGATAAGGTATAAATACTAAAAATCACCAAAGTAGATAGCAAAAACTCCACAGAAATCGTCCAAAAAGTTGAAAGAACATTTTCAAGGATTACGTAGTTCTACATATATATCTAAATGTAGAAATACCTTATGAAAAACTCGCTGAGACTTATCTTTCTTTTGCTAGATGTATGTGATCTTTGTGGATTTGCGGGTAAGAACTTGGGCTTTGCTATCAGATTATTTAATTTATTTATGTGTTTTTAATTTATTATGAGGGTTAAAGGATACTTTCAATAACAATTTGTTTGCACAATTGTTTCTTTAAGGAATCAAAGACGGAGCTGTGTCGAATTTCTGGATGTAATGCATATTTCAGGCCATTGCGCGCACTTCAATCTAAACTTCAAGACAAAGAAATTCTAAAAAGTCATCACCTTTTCAACCATTCTTTTTGAAGCGCTCAAACGCTGTTAATTCGATTGTTTTATAGCAAATTCATACAATTACTTTCTCAAGCAAACTTTCACAGAGAGCAACTGATCATTCTATCGAATGGTGGTCTACAGTCGAAGCCAAATTTCACGCCATCGAAATATCGTATGTATAGCAATAGAAAATATTCTATAATAATATAGCGATAGCTTGGCAACTAGGACTGCAATACCTAGCCTCGCACTAGTTCTCGTAAAAGTCCCTGTATGAATTGAAACGACAAACATTCGTTATTTCACTGTTTTTGTCAGCCATCAACAATGATAGGCCCCGATAGGCRACAATACCATTGATGGGGTGTGCTTCTTAGCCATCTACAAATTGATCGTTTCTTTATTAAGCGGCACATGGTCACTACTTGAATAACACAATAAGTTTAAATTGAGGCTAATTGAAAGAACACCGTCCTAAATCCCTCGTCAAACATGGCGGACTCTTTGAGATACACTGTACATAGTAAGCCGACATCGAGTTACTATAATACTGTGTAAACTTTCACWATTCATTGGCAGGACCACTGCCACGATATAGTGAACTCGGAAATGGAAAGAAATGATCTAAACACTTTCTTTTAAACAGTAGTGATTGAAGAAGATTCGGTCATTTTGCCGCCATACTCTTTGCAGAAAACGTATCTTCCTTTTCAAAGCAAAAATTATTGAAAAAACGTTTGAAAAGCAAGACAAAGGATGGAGAATGATCGAAGTTTATTTTTTTGAGATAAAAAYCATGTTTTAGGTGATGTAATAAGCTTKKYTTAAACCGATTTGTCACACGTTTGGAGGTGGTTTTCCTGCCCGGAGTTGTTTTAACTTCAAGTTCGCATCACTACAATGAATCACRCAAAAGAACAAACTTTAAAGTACATTTAATTACTGTACAATTAATCAAGTCACTTTGAACAACATTAAAAGAGATGACTAAATATTACATTATTCAAGCTGAACTTTTCAGAACTTCGTTTGTTGGCTTTCCCAAGCTATTCATGTTATCGTAAGGACTTTATTTCTTAGTTTGTTTTCGCATACKTTTGACGATTTATACAACAATCTTACTTTGATGTGTTTATATTTATGTTTCAAGACTTAAATCAAAACGAAACCGCATTAAACGGAACAAAATMATTCCCAGTTTTTAACCACATCACCGACGCGCGCATCTCAATGGTTGCGTGAAGATAATCCTTCGTAGTTGGCTTATTGTACTTGCATTTACTCTTCTGTTGGTTAAATAGTGGACTGTTTAAAATCTCTCCTGGAGACAACGCCTCCACACTAGTGAATCCAGAATATTTATGTAGTCCCCAACTCCTGATGTTTTAGAGTTTAATGTTTATTATTCTAAGACATGTTTCAAGAAGAAATAAAAGTATTTCATTTCAGTTTTTTTAATGATAATGATAAACAAAACTCTTAAATTTCCTGCAATTTTTCTAATGACAAGTCCGTCTCCTTCACTTTAATGTCTAGTTCTCAAATTGAGCTAAATTTTYGTCACAAAAATGGTAACAATATTTCCACAACWTTGAAAATTGTAAACTCGTCACAACCTCATTTAGATCTTATCTCGCTTCAGTCAACTTCACAACAATTTTCAGCCAAGATAACAATGAGGACCTTTATTGTGATTGGAATCTTATGATTCAAAACCCAAATAGTCAATAATCGACAGTAATTCTATTTATTTAATCTAAGGTCAATACTACTTAGCACACCGTGAGTCCAAATAAACACATTCTGGGTTCATTATTTCGTACTTTGACTCATCACCCGTTTCCTCCGCGTAAACACATTGTTGAATTTGGAAAATTTAACCTGTGGAATATGGACTGCGGATGGTAGGATCGACTTGCATTATCACATGCAATCAATTCGTAAGGTTTGTTGAATATCATTATAAAAATTCTGCAACTGCAGGATTTCTTGGCAATGTAGCTGTCCGGAGAAGCGCTTCACATTCGGTTTAATTACGGTGTTCGTACAAAGAGGATGGCATGTAAAATCGCACAGCAGTTCGAACGAGTTGTAAAACAGTATCAATAGATTATCAATATTTCGAAATTACAACAACAAAAAGATAGTGCGAGTTTAATCTAGAGTAGGGCGCTCATTGTTGCGGTGTACTCTTTCAAAATGAARGACAATGACAAGTCGATCTAAATCAAAGACACCGCGAGGGAACCGAGGACTATTTCTGTAWCGATTAGTGAATAACTTACACAACAGCCGGCTTTGAACCATGCAACCTAGTAGAGTTAAAACACTCGTGTTTACTTTAAGAACTATTTCAATACAAAAAAATTGTCCAAAACTCAACAACACACAATAAAAACATTACACTAAAAGAGAGGTCTTGAGTGTTCATGWCCACGGAAACTGGAGTTTTAAAAAGACMTTAAATAGCAAAAACAGATGCGCACGACGGAGGACTCTAGATGCTGACCGAAATGCATCGGTGGGAAATCATGAATGATGATATATTCCATTATGTGGGTGGGAGGGGTGGGGAGGTTTTGCAAATAAATCWAGAATTACAGCAATGAAACTTAAASGGRGTTGACAACCRTTGTTTGAAAATTTCGCGTCCAACCTTGAAATGCTRCCMTCCAAACTGTACATTTTCTTGAAAGAACACATTATGTTCAGCWAAAACCCTGAAATAACATTTCTCATCTGGTAACCAAACATCTGAACGATGTGTTGAAATCGAGTCATTCTGGAATACTAATTCGACACGTGATTGATTGGTGAAATGRTGGAATTTCTAATCTAAACATGGCCGCCACGATGCGTGCTGATTGAATTATGGCCGCCATGCTAGTATAAAACAGACATGGGCTTATCTAAATGACTCTAGAAGTTAGTTCTTGGCATGTAATGATATACAGATAAAGYATTAAGATAAGAGACAATCAAAATCACCTGATTTGAAGTGTTTTGACTTATRCAACAAGAAACAGAACGCATGCGCGTGATCGAGATAAGCAACTGCTACTGAAGTCACAGCCTTGAAGAGAAAGAAAAAAATACTCACTAAATAAAAATATTTGGACTTCAAAGTTTGAACACAGGAAAGAATTCATTCAAACCCGCGCGCAATATCAAACTTTCAACAAAAAACGTTCAATTATGCTGCGAAAAGTTACAATTTTAAAAAACAGATCGTTTGGTATCAATTTTTGATTGAAGATCGGAAATTTTAATACTAATCGAGCACGTTTTATAAAYAAAACAGCTAAACATGGATGAAATGAGGAAGTCTTTGCAATAAGGAGGAAACACTTCAGAAATTTTCCCAAACCATTTTAGTATCTTTTCTTCGCCCGCAACAAAACCTGGGTGGTCTTGGACCTCACATGGCTATAATAGCCCGTCATTTGAAGCAGGAAGTACCATCAAAACTGCTGTAATAGATAATGCTGGCAACGCCCATCGATATAACGCAATAGTATGCCTCGCAAGACACGAAATAGTGAAATCTACTGTRCCACAAGAACAATTACAAACAATTCTGTACATGACTAGATATCAAAATTTTTAATACTAAAATGATTGATATTATTACCTAATTCAATATTTCGATATATTATCTAGGGATTTTATTATATGGACGAGAAGTGAAAACTTGAAATGAAGAAAGTAAAAAACAGAACAAAATACAACGAAACTAGTGATGTGCTCCACACGAAATAACGAAACTGTGTCAAAATATAAAGAAACAAAACTATGAAAAAACAAAAATTCTACAATACCAAAGGAAACCAGAGAATCTTTTAAAGATTTAAATATACGAAAGGGTGGGATCGCGAAGTGGAGCCAGTGTAAGGGGTCTTATTTGATAATGTGTCATACACTCTGAATCATACCAAGAAATCACACGGTTTTCACGCTATCCATGCAAACCATTATGTACAGACAAAAATATATTTACAAAACAATCCACAAATGCTATCTATTGTCCCGTTCTTTCGAGTGTTTGTCAGATTCCGAGTAGTGTTTTCGACTCGCGTCGTGAATCTGTCGTGGGCTGTATACATTGTCCAGYGGACTACACTGAGAGCTTTCGCTTGATGTCCGATGACTATACGAATGATGCCGATGRTCAAACGAATGATCCCGAGAGCGGTGATGATCGTCTCGGTAATCCCTTTTGTCGGAAAATCTCGAATAATGGTCAGAGTTTCTGTCGTGTGAACGTGAGTGCTGGTCTTTGCTACGAAAATGGTCTGAAGATCTATCGTGTGACCGAGAATGCTCCGAAAGTCTATCGACTACTTTGTCGTGAGAACGAGAGTGTTCCGAAAGTCTATCGATCCGTCCTTCTTGGGATCGGGAGTGGTCGGAGAGTCGATCCATTCCGCCTTTAGAGTGRTCGTAATGAGATGAGAAGCGATCTCGGTATCTATGGCGGTCGTCATGACTGCGAAATATAAATAATACCGCCAGTTGGTCTACGGTAATGTAAATTGATAATCGATCAATCAAAATTACTTACCTATCTCTTGGTCTCCGATGAGACCCGTCCGAGTTTCCCGAAAAACGAGCGCGGTTTGCATTGTCGATTCTGGGAATTTTGGCATGGGAGCCTGGTAGTGAGGCATTGTCATGTGACCTTTTAAGTTCATGTGACCGCGGGACAGAATGACTACTTGACACTTTACCATTCTTGGAATTGGGTTGGTTGGATTTGTGTTGTAATCGCTTTAACAAAAACAAGGACATTTCAGTGAGCATGCGTGATGGGCATGTTCAAATACACAGGAAGCCCGTCTTTACCTCTTGCTGATGTTGCTGTTTTAATTCCTCTCTCTTCTTACARGCATGTTTGTACAGACGATAAAGCTTTTTGCCTTCAAAGGCTGTAAATTTAGACACAAAAGTCCATAGGTTCCTATAGAATTGCCAAAAAAAGTTAACATTGAAAAGAAATGAAAAAAACTCAGGTCAAATAAAATGAGAAATAGGCTATGTGCGAGTGAAGTKTTAGTAGATCCGTACGCGATAAATGAGAAGTGGAAGGTTCGCGGAATCGTTATGGTATGGCGTAAAGACTGATGAATGGATGGATGAAAGTGAAAAGGACAGAGGGATGATTGTATGGGAAGTGGAGAGATTCTTAGAAGAGTGGATAAATAAATGCCATGGAGCAAAGACAAAAGAGAGGAGAGAAATTGGAAATGACAGAAAGATGATTGTATGAGAAATGGCGAAATAGTTGGGATGCAGTCATCGTATGGGTCGATGGACAAAGGTTAWAGTGATTGACAATTTTCTTACCATCGCCATTCCGATGCAACATCCTGGTCTTTATACTGTGATGTAATATCCATGATATGATCACCTATCTTTAGTAAACACTGGCAAAAGATARACATTATTGATCACAAAAGAAACGTGACACACCCAAAATATTGCAAAAGCTTTCTACAATGACCCCAAATTCAGAAAAAAGTGAAGGGCATTTTACATGCAAAAATATTATCGAGAATATAGAAGAATATCAGAAAAAAAAGTAATGTGCAAGGTCTATAACCACTCCGTCCCTGTGGTCCCTATTTGATTATACATGTAAATACCTGTCTGGTTTGAGCGACTTGGTCTTTGTCCGAGACCTCTTCCTCAGGACTTTCAAGCATTTTTAAAGCTTTTTTAACAGGACGCATCTTCTCTTTACACTGAAAGAACRAAGAAAGCAATTTCCATRAGACTGACTATAAAATGTCTTCGGTTTACATTGCCAACTGCATTMATATTGAGAACATTTTTCATTCAGCTGGCTGTTATTAGTAGAAATGAAATTCATGTAAGTAAAAAGTAGTCTTTTCCTCTTATGACATCATGATAAGTACAGTCAGGGTCTTTAATCGTACTCTATTGTACAGCCATCTTATCTATTATTCTTCGAAAGTATACTTAAAAAGGTTAATTTGATAACGAAACTCCTTCGCAGGTTTAGTAACATCCGCCATGTTGAACTCTAATCARTACCATGAAACACTTCAGGCATGATTTCATCASTTGAAAGAATTATTYACCGCGTCGAATGTTGTCTTGTCCATGCTGTCAGACCCCCCAGTGTCGTCATTGTTCATGTGGTCATCACGTGACARTGACGTAATGTTAGTATGMTCATTCTCGTGATCACTTGTCATGGGGGACAGATGAGGTTCTTCCTCTTCAGGTTTCACTGGCTCTTCTTTTCCTTTCGGTTCTTTTTCTTGCTTCTCTTTCACTTCTTTCGTAGGCTGCAAAGCATAAATTGTGGATATATCAAACAATCATCCCMAGTCCGTCTTAAGAATATTGGCAGAGCACTAAATACCAGGCGAAAGTCAGGTTTTTGTGACGTTCAGAGCGGTCTCGTACGTCCACTTGATGCACGACAGAGAAAAGAAACGAGAGACAGATTCTGCTGTTTAGCGCTATTATCCAGAAAGACACGATGATGAATGGGACAAGACAGAAGATTCTTAATTCAGAATACGACTATTTTTACCTTGCTCTCCTTGGGTTTTTTGACTTTTGTCTTCTTGGTCGATTCAGGCTGTTTTTTCTTAGTTTTCTTTGGTCGTTCTGGTGTTGTGAGAATCGGTTTTGGTGATTCTACGGTCTCTGGTTCCTCTTTTATTTCCTGCTGTTGCGATACAACRGGCGATGGTACTGGTTTGGGCGATGGWGCTGCWGGGCTGGTCGGAGAGACATCTTTCGAAGTCACGTTCTTCTTTCCGCCTTTTCTTCTCATGCGTTTTATCTTGCCCTTAAGTGCAGACGATGACTGAAAGGTGTCAATCACCACAATTAGTACATTAATATCGATCATTACTTGCATAATCATGAGCTGTCATCATCATTATCACAACCAAGGCTAATATTTTAATCATCACTATCACCACCATCATGTACCATCATCATAGCAAAGCATTTCCATCATTACATGTAATATCCATGGAAAATTCGAACCAATGATCATACTATAATAATATTTCGCATGGTTTCGAACCAATGATCAGTGATTCGAAATTCCACTAATTTCACTACCGTAATAATGAAATTATTATTACCTTTTTCAGGTCGTCTGCTTTACTCTCAAGTAAGACCTGTTTAAGTAGTTTGATCAAATACTCGGCCCTTGTCTGGAGGTGTTTATCTTGGGGCTTTAAATTTCCCGGCGGTAGTATTTTAGTGGATAATTCTAAGCTTTCATCTGATTTAATGGCGTCCCAGCTCCCCATWCCGTACTTATAAATACCAACAAGCAACATGGAATCGTCCGATACATCCCATGGAACGCCCCAATGAACACTCTTTGCTGGGAAAGTGAGTCTATATCTAGAAATACACAATATAATGGAAGTGAATGAGAGGAGAGAAGGGAAAGGAAAATAGAACGGTTACAAAATGCTTACTTTTTTCTTTCTGCCTCATCGGAAGGRATTGTAACAGCCAACGGTTCTAATTCCTCCTCGTGTTTTAGTATCGAAGGAGCATTAATCGTTACATTACCAATTCTAAGTGTTGCGCCACGCTTTTTACCTACAAAAAGACATGAATGCTATCAATAAGCTACAGTATTATGCAATAAAGCAAAACGCAAATTAGTGTAACAGACACATAGTCAATTGATCTATAGAATATTTGCGGTCTTCCTGTGTACTTCCACAGGAAGACCAAGTTTCATCGCGAGCGTACCATCAAAGTTTGGATCTTCTTGTAGTTTCTCATTATATTCTCTAACAGCTCTAATACACCCATCATGCAAGATACTGGACAATCGTTCAACGTCTTCACTYGGTTTGTCATCCAACTCTGCATCTATAGCAATGGCTTCCAGCCTTGTGCGAGGGCGTCCAAACTTCTTRTAGCTTTTCACAAATCTTAAAAATATGAAGAGTTTTGCTTTCAGTCGATAGAACTGGGAAATGGGTGTGGACTCTACTCTCCCGAAACATATTTATACCTTGATTTGCTTCTATTGGTCTCAAATCAGAATAAAATTCCTTACTAAACAAAGCCCTGGATTCTGTCCGAAATCACTGCTATCATAGTCTTCTTTCAAATCCAGCGAACTGAAAACAACTATTTTGATCTGAGTTGAACCAAGTAACAATACCTTCTGATTTCGGAATCGTTGAAGCCATCGACATCTTCTCGTTTGATGGTTCTTGGACGACCTCTCTTTCTCTTGGTATCTTTGTCTTCATCCTCGTCATCGTCTTCACTTTCAGATTTCTTTTTCTTTGATTTCTTCTTGTTGCTTGSATCGCCATCRCTGTCATAGTTCATCTTGTGACAAATAAAATAAGYTGAAATTAGTGACACAGTAGAACCTCTAWTTWWYSGSC